CTATTGAGCCGATTGACAAAATTCAAATTGCGATTTTCATGTCTCGAAACCGCCACTTAGAATATGTATTATATTTATATATAGCACTATTCTAACATAGGTATTTTGACACAAAATCGGACCTTTTTCTGAAATAACATACCAATTTTTTTACATATTTCGTTTCTACGACTCAAATTATGCCAGACTGCCAACTCGTACAAGTAGTTTTTAAAAAATTCGCTCCTCAATGTTAATTGAATTTGGCATATATTTATTAATATCTCTTTTTTCATTAAACGTTTTTGATTTTTTCTTTCACATTTCAAAATTTAGGTTCATTCCAGATAAAATTTACCCCCCATTTTTTTTTTAAATTTCTATTTTTAAATATTTTTTTCCCATTCTTAGAGTAGGTGTAGTTCTAAGCATACCTGCAAAAAATTAGAGCTTTTTATTCAAAATTTTCTGATATACACAAATTTACATATTTTTGCGTTTTGAAATTTGGCATCTTTTTTTTTTTTTTTTTTTTAAATTATAACGCCAAATGGGGCTCATGGAATTTTGTTACAGTGAATCGCCACAGCTATTTTTAACCTTAAATTTCAAATAAATTTTTACCGAGAATTAATTATACGAAAATTTTTCCCTCCATGATGCGTAATAAATATTTACTAATACTATATGAAAAGCTATTTTTTTTAACTATAGATGATACTATTTAAATTTTTAACTTTTTAAAAATTTCTTTCTTTCTTCCCTTTTTTAAAAAAATATTTATAAGAGTAAATCTTAATTTTCTTGTGGTGAGCACTGGAAATAAATGTAGAAGGAAAGAAGAAAATTAGGGAGAAAAGTAAGCAAAAATTTGAAGGGGAATTTGGCTGTCAGAGTGACTAAGGTGTTTCGAAAAGTTGGATGATTTCGAATATTACTTTCGGAATACTTCAAGGAATTTGGGTGTTCAAAGAGAAAACACGTGGATATGTACACCAGCAAATACCATCAATTGAGCTTGTGCTAACGGAAAAGACAAAAACGATATCATTGCAGATTAAAGTGAAGAGCGACTGCTTTTCGACTGTATGTTTGTATAAATTTAAATTACATTATTGTACTCATATCATCTAAACGGAGAATCCCATGATTTCTTAGTCGAATTATTTGAATATTCTGGAATTTATCCAGTGATGTATGTGGATGTTCCCTAAGGATGTTTTCCCTCTTGATGAAACCAGTCTTTCCATTCATTTCATGCCTTAAAAATGCTTATCCTCTAAAGACTGATAAAGGCTCTGACCAAATACTAATGAAATGGACTGAATCGAATTATTAAGTTCGCCGGGATTCAAACCCCGGAGTGAACAACCAGTGTCCAGCGACTTTACCGCTCGGCCGTTTGTGGGCCTTTATGAAATGGTAGGCGATAACTTTATTTAAAATGAATGTCAGAAATACCAAGATCTTTCATAACGTTAGATGCTTTTTAATATACTTGCAGAGTGCCTGAAGAAAAACAGAAAGCCATTAAGAAGTAAAAAAATAAATTTTTGCATAAAATTTAGAATTTTGTTTTAATTAAAAATTTTTTAATCTTATGATATTAGATTCTTGCGATTAATTAATTAAGATCATAAAATTGTGTAAAGCAATGAGCACAATGTTAAAGCTATTTAAAGCAATATAAGCAAGGTCATCCTAAGTTAAAATGTCAGTTATACATCTTTCTCATTTATATATCTGTACTGAACGGAACATTGAAAGACGTATTAACCGTGCTTTACTGTATTTACTCTTTCAATATACAGTCAAAAGTCGTTAATTCGGACACCCATAATCCGGAATGATCTATAATCCGGACCTCAAAGCTGCAAACTTTCTGCGACGCATGCGCGTAAGACCTTTACCGCTGCTAATTTGCGTGTGAGCGTGCGCAAAATACGTTTACGAATACGCGTTTAATGTATAACGGACGGGATAAGCTAAGCTAAAATTATCTAATTATCTATTTCAGTTAATGTTGCAGATTGCGTTGTTCCTTAATCTTCGAATTGGAACCGGATTATTATTTTTTGCAGACTGTTAGAGCAATTTTATAAAAGTAAGCTTGAACTTTCGATTATGTCAAATAGAATTTCTGATATATATTTACTAATATGTAAAGGATATACAAAGCGAAAGTATCTTTCGGAGTCCATTAAACAAAAAGTGGAATTGCTGCAAAAAATGGATGAAGTTTACCTAAACTTTAATGTTTGTTTATCTTTAACGCGGCGGCGGGGTGCATTGAATTGGAAGTTGATCTGTCAGCGCTATCCTTATCTTAAGAGCAGATGTTTTTATTTTATTTGGCTTATAATTGCTTACTCAATGTAGTATTTCATCTTGTCTTTGATATGATTTAAATCAAATGCCTCGTCATTATAATTCGCTTCCGATAGCGAAGAATGTAACAGAGGTTATTGAAAACGAAAAAATTTCGATTGACAAATTAGTCGGTATTCTCGACACAGCAATTATAGGACTTGAACAGCGGAACTTTGTAACTGAACAAGAAATTATGTCTGTTTATAGAATTAAAGAGAATGTATTATAACATAAAAAACGAAGCAACTTAAACAACTTACATTGAAAGAAATGTTTAATAAAGTAAAAAAATAAATATTAAGCTTTTTTTTTTTTTTTTGTAAATTTTGATACCCTTTAGATCATAATTGTTCTTTATTTCGTAAATTACGGTTTCATATTTTTAATTTTATAATTTCTGCATGCCATTTTACCAGATTTAAACTGATGATCTATAATCCGGAAAAATCGATAATCCGGAATCGCCGAAGTCCCGACGAGTCCGGATTAACGACTTTTGACTGTATTCAGTTTTCAGATGCATCATAGTCTGGGACACAAATTATTCTTCCAAAAGAAATGCGATTCAAATAAATCAAATCAAATCCTGGAAAATGTATATTAATAAATATATTTAAAATGCTTGGTTCGAATTAATAAATAGAAAATTTTAAAACTATTATCTGAAGAGACAATGCTACACAAACAATTAAAATAAAAGTCTGAAAATTTAAAAATTACCTAAAATAATAACTATATGACCAAAAAAAAAATAAATTGCAAAGAAAACTATTTGCAAAACATAAATGATGCACCCTTTTTTTAAACTACGCAGTTTGGGTAAATAGAAATTTTTAAAACAGCTATTCGAAAGGAAGCATGCAACTTGAGCAATTAAAATGAAATTTGAAAAAGAAAAAATTACTTAAAATAATAACAATTATGATTAAAAATATAATATAAAAAACATTATTTGAAAAAAGGAACAATTGTGACTTTTTTTCCTCTCATGGAAAAGGAAAATAGGTTGCCATATATTAAGAAGTTCACCAAGTGAACTATTCTTGGCACAAACTGAAGAAAAAGTGCCAACATAAATTTGTAAATTTCTCCGTAAATTTTGCACCAAATTCTACAAAATTTCATATTTAGGCATAATTTAAGTCATAGATTCGAAATATGGAATAAAATTGGTATGTTATTTCAGAAAAAGTCCGATTTCATGTCAGAATAACTATGTTAGAATAGAGCTATGTGTAAATCTAATCCGAGGTCGCGCTTCCGAGACATAAAGAACACAATTTAAATTTTGTTAATCGACCCAGTAAAATGGGAAATATAGAACTCCACCCCCCCCCCGTGCAGTGTACATATCGAAGGTTGAAATGCTTCATATGAAAGTTGAAGTACTTATTAAAAGAAGAAATGAGGTAATTGAAACAGGTTTATTTGTGGAAAAATTGTTCTAAATTGTATTTCTTCTCAACTCTACAAGTTCAGATATCTACTAAGTAGAGTTTATTTCTCCTCTCTGTCTTTTTTTTTGGGGGGGGGGGAATAAAAAGGCACCACTGTTTTTGATTTTATACCGTTTTTAATAATATCACGAATAAAAAAGCGTTACTTTTGCCCAGCAATGTTCCAGCGCAGATGGCTCAGATAGCCCAAACTGGTATTCTGCATTGTAAATTTTAGCTTCTCTTCTATCTATTGTATTCACTAGATTTTTCTTCAGTTGCCTTCTCTTATTGTTTCAAGAACTGAAGTACTCAAAGCTACAATGTTGATTTGAAGGTTGCATTTCAGGCATGGTTTGAAGTCTCTGGCAAAAGATTTTTTTTTGTGTGGAATCCAGTGCTTAATGGATTACAGTGCTAAATATAAATCAAAGAGAAATATGCAGAAAAATGAAAATTTTAGACACTTGTATTGCACAGATGTGTTAGGCTAAAGTTTATTAAATGCTTCTTGTAATTGTGCTTTCAAATCTTGTCTAATAAATATTAGATGATGTTTTTCACTTAATATTTATTTACCTGTGCCCCTTTGCAGCCAGCACAGGTACTATTTGTATAGAAACATCCATGCCTTCTCCAGGATTTGAACCCAGGCTCAATGATTCTGATGTTAGCATCACTAATCACTATACTAGCTGTGCTGAATACTGGGAGTTTGATATGTGTTCAATTCTAGGTTTATTTTGGTTTATTTGATTCTGACAAAACACTCAAGGGCTATCTGCCTAAAGGAAGGAACACCTTTATGGAGGACTTTCTAAGGGAAACTGGCTCGCATATACATTGCACATGAGGGAAAACATGAAAAACCACATGGGACTGACTGCATGGGAGTGTAGCCACCCCATTCATGAGGTTTTGAACCCCAAACCAAACTACCAGTTTTCAGCGATTTTACTGCTTGGCCACAGGTGGGCACTATTCCAGGGAAACTGGCATGGACATTTTTGTTGGTTTCCCTATGTGTAACATATATATGAGACAGTTTCCTGTAGCAAGTTCTCCACAAAGGCATCCATCCCCTAAGGAAGCCCTTGTTTTCTTTGCCATAGTCATCCAACTGTTGGATAACATGTAATATTAATCATTATTTATTTTTGATGAAATTTTAATGAATCATTTTTGTAAAGAAGCAAACAATTTGTTCCCTCCTAGGAGCAGTATGTATTAGTACATAAAGCTGTATCATCATTGTTTGAGCAACAGTTGAGAGTAATTGACAGTCACACTTATGAAAATTTGGATCAAGATGGAGAACCTTTAATTTTAAAGGAGTTGAACCAACAGGTAATATTTTATTCAGTTCTTTTATATGCCATTAATTTCTATGAGTTTAAAAAAATAATTACAGATTATTACAGAGGCTGTTCGCACATTTTTTAGATGATTTTGGTAAGCAGTAATAAAACATCATTTGCTGCAAAAGAAGTAATTGCAATTGTACTGTTTTTAAAAGTCAAAATTATTGTCTGTGGCTTGAAAGTTTTGTTTTTATTAAAAATGGCGAATTTAACAAAGCAGTGGATCGAAGGCTACATTTATGCTCTTTCCGAAGAGAAATATGCATACTCCGTTATCCAAAAACGATGCGAGAGTCATGGTTTTGTGATATCTAAAGCGTCAATAAGTAATATCATCAACAAGAAAGGAAAAAAACGTCAAATTGGAGCTTCAAGTGGGACAAAAATTCCAAACAGGTATCCAAGGAAAAAACGGGCATCTTCGACTATTGGAAAGGTACGTTGTTTAATGTTAAAACAAAATCCCCCTAGTCAAAGGACAGTTGCAAAGGTATGTTGTTTAATGCTAAAAAAATCCCCCTAGTCAAAGGACAGTTGCAAAATCATTAAAATGCTCGGTGTCCACTGTAAACAAAATGATAAACGTTGATTTAAATCTTAAGAAAGCGAAAAAACGCAATGTGCATCGTCTTCTTCCAAAGCATATCGCTCAACGCAGGACACGCTGCAGAATTCTATATGAGAAACACTTAGAGAAAAGAAAACAAAGACTGTTTCATATGAAAAAGAAAGCACATATGGTGGAACAGTTTAGGAAGATAGAAAAATTAAAAGCTCAAAAGAAGTTGAGAAATTTTTACTAGAAAATCAATGTTCTATCTCGCTTTGCCTATCTTGGGGCTGTTACTTGTAGAAAAGGTGATCAAGTTGAAGTGCTGAAAAGAGAGAGAGATTTCTGTAGAGATCTTCTCTCCAGAAGTAATCTCCCATGGGAGGAGACTGATATAACTACCAACCTGAATATTTTTTAGAATAATCGAACTCTGAAACTTGCACCATCCTTTGTGTAGGCTATTGAGAATTTAAATAACAGTAGGGTTGCAGGATGAGATGGTATTAAAGCGAAGTGGTATTTTATTGATTTTAATGTCGCTTATGGTAGCATATACCATTTGTTGAAAATGGCATCATTTCACTTGCCCAACTTACACAAATTAAAGAATGACATCACACGATGAACTATTGCATTTAATATGTGTAGAATATAGCAACAAGATATGATTTCCTTAGTAACCAAATGTAGTTAGAAAAATATCTGTATGTTTAACGTAGGTTTTCTGTGTTATTAAATTGTGTTTTGTTATGTGTCATACTATCTCTTCATTTTAGGAGTTACCGAAATAACATCCGGTAGATGTTCTTTATTGTGTTACTTTTTCGGAGCTATCCTTCATTGTGAGACACGCAACATAAAATATATTTTGGTTCCCATAAGGGAAGTGATCTCGGTAACTAGTGATAGTAATTAATAAGTGATAATGGATGTGATACATTTGAAAAGCAATGAGAATGTGAACTAAATAGAAGATAAGTTAAAGAAGTTCTTGATGTGAAAGTTATTTCAGTTTTGGAGTCTCAACTAAAGGGTAAATTTACACATTTAGAGGAATATCAAAAAGAGCTCTCTACAGCTACACTGCTGGCATTAAAATTGCAACACCAGGAAGGAATGATCTGACGAACATCAAAGTCACATGAAAGGAAGAAGTTGGGATGATTAGTATTTCAGCGCATTTAAATGACGCAGGAGGGAGAAATGACATCTGAAACACTGCATAAAAGAAAAGTTGTGTAATGGATTTCTTATTCAGAAAGTTCTTTTTAAAATTGAAGTTTGCTTAGAATATTGTGTTATGCCTCTAATAAGAAGAAATGCTATCAAGTTTTGAAATTCGATCAGGCAGGATCATTGCGTATTGAAAGTGTAGATTATCGTTCTGTGATATTGCCGATCGCACTGGTCATCCAACCACTCTCATGCAAATGTGGGACCATTGGATTGCTGAGGATCATACTGAACAGCATTCAGGATCTTAATGCCCTCCCATGACTAACACCACAGAGGACAGACATATTGTGAGGTCAGCCCTGGAAAAACCTATGACCACATCACAGACCATTAGTTAGGCATGCGTATGTTTGCAGCACACCCAGTATAAGCTCGTAAGGTGCGTTGATGTTTGCAGCAGCGTGGACTATCAGCAGGGTGACCATTACTGTTCAGCTTCCCTTGACAATGCAGCATAGAGACAGGCAGTGACTCTGGTGTGCCAAACGATAAAGCTGAGTACAGTAGTGGCACAATGTCACCTTTTCACATGAGTGCCAGTTCTATGCGCAGAATTCCTGATGGCCATATACATGTCTGGAGTGTCCGAGGAAACCTCACCGTCACCTGCTTACATTCGATATTGGCATAGAGGCTCTGCACCTGGTGTGATGGTTTGGGCAGCCATTGGGTACATGACACGCACATCTCTAGATCGAATCAACGCAGATGGGTACGTTTCTGACATCTTACGTCTAGTGGTTCCCTATCTTCAAAGCCCCCAAATGCCATGTCCAACAAGATAATGCAAGACCACATGTTGCACATCATATTCTGACCTTCCTTGATATACGGGTATTCAATTGCTGTCGGGATATGCAGTCTCCAGATCTATAACCCACTGAAAACATCTGGTCATGGGTTGCTGAGAGACTGGCCCACCACCCCTTTCCAGTCTGGTGATGGCGATAAGGAGCGCGCTTTGCGCCCTCCGATAAGTGTGGCAACCCTAGAGGAGAAGTTTCTTACGAGTAGCGAGCAGAGCGAAACAGGCAGGCTGTCGGGGAGTATGCGCGATGTTCCTAAATAAAGCTTAATTTTTATTGTGCACTATATCTTGTTAATATTTATATTAATGCAGTAAGAACATAATCTGTGATATGGAATTCGAGGATAGGTGGTAAAAACATAACCGGAAAAAACCATAATGGTAACCCGGACTGTGTTAAATCGTATGAACAGTTCTCAAGCACTTTCGGTTTTGACTACAAGCCATCACTCAAGATCTCCAAACCAGAAGTAATGGATTACATCGGTTTTCATCCTCCGAATCACAGATGAGTAGTAATTATAGATCATTTTATAATTACGTTTTCTACTTATCATTTAATTTAATTTTCTTTAGTTAAATTTTTGCTTTTATTTTGGCTTAAAAACCTTGCACAATGTCTGATGTTCATGCCGTCAAAATTCCGGTTTATAACTGATCAGACCCATCTTTATGGTTTATTATGTGTGAAAGTACTTTTTGCTCTTGCCACCCCCAAACCTATCACAGAATCCATTACTAAATATAATTATGTAGTTGCTCATCTTCCTCCAGATATTGCATCAATAGTACGGGATTTACTTATGAAACCAGACCCTATTGATCCATATACAAAGCTCCAAAACTGAGTTAATAAATCGTTCAGGAGAATCTTCTCAGCAAGAATTCGCCAATTATTATCTGGAGAAGAATTAGGTTCTCGACAGCCTTCCGATTTGCTTAGAAATATGAAACGTCGAGAGCAGAATCTTTAAATGTTCCTGATAACTTAATGGTTAGAATTATTCTTTCAACGTTTGCCTTCGACTGTTCAGTCTATTTTGGCAGCGGTTTCCAATTTAACTGTAGATAAAGCTGCAGAAATTGCCGACAGAATTTTAGAAGTAATCCAACCCCAGGGACTTGTGCCGTTTCTCGCACAGTCGATCAGTCTCTTGAGGATAAATTATTTAAACAAATAGAAAAATTAAAACAAACGTATTGATCGCATTTCTCTTTCTCGTGGTCGCTCGCCAAATCGCGGAGATCGCAATAAGGAAAGAAGCAATTCCAAAAGGAGAGATTATTCTGTTTGCTGGTATCATAGACGTTTTGGGGAAAAGTGTAGAGAATGACAAATATACAAAACCTAGTTCATGGCAGGGAAACGAAACCAGCAAACAATAGAGGCGACTTATTCTTTGCCTCAAGTTTCACGTCGCCTGTTCATTCGTCACCGTAGAACAAACCTTTCATTCTTGGTCAATACCGGCTCTGACATGTTCTTACTTCCAGCAAATAATTCTCAAAAATGGAATTCTCGCCAACAAACACTTTTTGCTGCTAATTCTTCCAATATTCATGTTTATGGTAAAAAAGCACTTACTTTGAATTTCAAATTAAGACGACAGTTTACATGGACTTTTCTTATAGCAAATGTTAGTACACCCATTCTTGGAGCAGATTTTCTCCATTTCTTTGAATTGGTGCCTGATCTCAGAGAAACAAATGTCTCAAAGATTTAAAAACGCATTTTAAAAACGTCGGTTGCGTGAAAAATGCAAGCATTTATTCAGTAAAAACTGTATTTAGTGATACACCATATCACAAAATTTTAAAAGAATTTCCTTCATTTACTAGATTACCAGATCCTAACCACCTGTTAAACATAACACCGTTCATTATATCATAACTAAAGGTCCACCTGTGGTTTGCAAAACTCATCGGTTAGCTCCAGATCGCTTAAAAATAGCCAAAACAAGAATTTCAAACTATGATGCAATTGGGGCATTTGAGACCTTCGAGCAGCAATTATGCATCCCCACTTCACATGGTTCCAAAAAAGGGAAGTCTGGAATGGAGACCTGTAGGAGATTATCGAGCATTGAACGCTCAAACAGTAAAAGACAAAATACCCTATTCCATGTTTAGCCGATTTTACTGCTGCATTGCACGGTACTAAAATTTTTAGTCATGTCGACCTGATTAAGGCATACCATCAAATACCAATTAACCCAGCCGACATCCACAAAAACGCCATATGCACACCATTCGGGTTTATTCGAAAGTAACCCGTATGCAATTCGGCTTATGCAATGCATCTGCAACTTTTCAACGTTTTATAGATGAAGTCACGCGGGATTTAGAAGGCGTTTACGCTTTTGTCGATGACTTGCTCATAGCCCTAAAG